GAACGGATGTCTCCTCGGTAAGGTACCGTGTCTTGAGAGACTTTTGGGCCTTAAATTCACCCCTGACAAAATGGAACTCGTATATCCATCGCTAATGATGCATGTAAAATGGTTGATTCCCTGTAACCGCTCCAGTAAGTACCTGACTCCTCGTGCTATCCTCTAACTTTACAAGAGACAGCTCAAACCAAGAACGGAGCACCGCTGTCACAATTAGGCGGGAGCTGACCATACCACACTTTCCAGACTTGATAGAGTCCAAAAGCGTATTTGAGTCCTTGTGGGTGACGAATTCCACCCTCCAACCTCTCCCTCACAGGCAGGATGTGACAAGCTCCTCGCTACTCTATCGCTACTTTCATGGAAAGTGCTCGGACGAGCTGCATTCCTTGGTTCCGCCCGTTCTAATCTCCACGGCTAGGACCCGACATGTCACTTTCATAGAAGCAAATCACTCATATTTCTTCCGTATTACATTGGTTAAAAGTAAGTTCTAGACGAACTGCTTTTACGCGCGAACCACTGCTCTGTGAAAACAACTCTCAAGAGGATGTTTCCCCGATCACTACAATCTTAATCTGTTCAAGTCTGTGGTAAACCGTTACAATATTAACCTGATCAAGCCTAGGATAAACCGTTACGATATTAACCTGTTCAAGTCTAGGGTAAACCGTTACAATATAACCTGTTTGTCTAGGGTAAACCGTTACAATATTAACCTGTTTGTTTAATTTATTAGGGTGTTCCGTTACAATATTAACTTGTTCAAGTCTAGGGTAAACCGTTACAATATTAACCTGTTTATTTCTAGGGTAAACCGTTACAATATTAACTTGTTCAAGTCTGGGGTAAACCGTTACAAAATTAACCTGTTTAAGTCTAGGGTAAACCGTTACAGTATTAACCTGTTCAAGTCTAGGGTAAGACTTCTTCTTCTAATCGTACAAACTGCCCCTTAACGTAACCCTCTACCTCGAGTGGCCTCTGGGCCTTGTACAGGTGGACACTTATTAAAAAAAAAAAAAAAAAAAAAAAACAATCCGAATCGCACGAAGTCCCGTCCCTTATGTATTAAAACAAAGAGAGTAGATCATAGTTGATGGTGTCTTTTATGCAATGGAGAAGACATTACTACAACAGAGAAGTATTACCTACCTAGGTTTCCCCATATTGGATCATCGGGGTGAAGTAGCCAGTTCACCTTGATGATCCCATGGCGGGGAAACCTGGCTAGGTAGTACCTGGCTCATTAGGATTTATTTACTATCTCTCTCTCGCTCTCTCTCTATCTATCTATCTTATCTATCTCTCTATATACATATATATATGTGTGTGTGTGTGTGTGTGTGTGTGTGTGTGTGTGTGTGTGTGTGTGTGTGTGTGGCAGCAATCTGTTTCATGCTTGATGTTTGATGGTGTTTTTTATGCAATGGAGAAGACTAAACAGCAGATTTTTTTTTTTTATTAATGGAGGGTGGTTTTTGTTTGTTTGACTTCAATAATGTTTAGTTTTTGCTATTAGATTTGGTAAGGATCATCTTATAAGACACATATGCCTATATCGTTAGAAGTTGTTTGTCTATAGACGAATGACTGCTCACTATCGGAAACAGAGCGTCTAAAGAATAAAAGAATTATTGACATAGGAATTAATTCTAAATGATTATCAGTTTCATGCCTGAGTGCGTTATTCATATCTAGTGGTTAAAGACCGCATTGGGGATTGAAGCAAGCAGATAACGACGCAGTTTACAAGTTTAGCCTATGCCCTAATTCTATCTGTCTCCCCCCCTCTCTTTCTCTCTCTCTCTCTCTATATATATATATATATATATATATGACATAATATATAAACTGCGTCTAGAGATTATATGCAAGTTATGAATTGGTATAAAGAGTTGCGTCTTTAACGTTAAAAGTCCTATTATGATGTTGAGATTCTACTCAATATTATTAACTTAGATATATAGTGATAGAGAAAACTATTGTTTTTGGTTGGAAAAAAATTTTACTAACAAAACAGACTAATTTGACTGTCAGTAGTTTATTTGCAACTATTTATTTTGATACTTTTACATTATTAAACCTTGTAAAACTAATGTAAAAAAATAATATGAAAAGATTTTAGAACAAATTCGTCAATTTCTTAAAGGAAAAACATAAAAAAAACATTTTATTTTAAAAATAAAAGATATATTAACAAAAAATAATAATAACCTCCTAAAATTTATTACACAAATGCGCCTTTCTTTTCAATAACTCTTAGCAGCCTATTGTCAACATCTGATGTTAGATTTGCAATTTTAGCGGCTGGTAAGTTGTTTGCAGCAACTTTAACTGCCTCCCAGAGGTCACACTTGCTGTTGAATTGCCTTCCATTAGAATAAATATCTCTCTTGAGGATGCTCCACAGATTCTCAATGGGATTCAAGTCACAGCTATTTGAATCTTCAACAAATCCCGTTTCTTTCAACCAGGATTTAGTAAACTTTGATGCATGACTTGGTGCGTTGTCTTGCATAAAGATCATAGATCTATGCTTGGCTAAAGACTGGTTATCAAGCCATTCAAAGAAATATTGCTTTAGAAAATCACAGTAACTTTTGGAATTCATTTTAACTACGTCTTTCAGTTTAAATGGACCCACGAGCTCATTAGCAATAATCCCAGCCCATATCATGATCCCACCACCGCCTTGTTGGCGTTTAAAAAATTTCTTGAGTCATGTTGCTTGCAAACCCATCCTCGAGCCCATCCATCGGGCCCATCGAGGGTGATCCTTGATTCGTCTGTAAAAAGCACTTTACTGAAATCAGTTTTCATGTATTTTTTTGCCCTCTGCAATCTTCTTTCCTTATTTTTTTTTTTTGTTAAAATGGGTTTCTTTATTTGATTTTTTATATCAGCAAACTTCCTTAATGCTTTACACCTTGTTTCCCTTGACACCATAGGAGCTCCAGCGGCCTCAAATATGAACGCACTTGACGCATTTGGATTATTAATTCTCTTCGGATATGTGATAGATCTCGCTTTGTTAAATTCCTGAATTCAGCCTGAGACTTTTTTTCCTTGGTTGAATTCCCATTGGACATATTTTCTAGATTGTTCGATGATCCCTTTTCAAATCCTTAGAAATTTGAAGAGAAGACTTTCCTTTGCTAATTTCTTTGATTATATAGTTCTTTTCATTCATTGTTAGTTCTTTTTTACGAGCCATATTACTAAATTCTAGTTCTTGCAAATAATCTCTTGACACTGCAAATTGCTATAATTACTGAAAAAATACTAAATATCAATCTGAAATTGAAAATTGGGACTTAATTGCTTTCATGCTTACTTGCTATACATAATAGTACAAATTATTTCATTGGATAACACATATCTATAAATTTTACATAAAATATTTGACAATACCTCTTTTGCATATAATCTCTAGACGCAGTTTATATATATATATATATATATATATATATATATATATATATATATATATATATATATATATATATATTAAATATGTGGTGCCGTTTAATTTATATTACAATGAATCATTCTTATAAAAGTAAGTAAATTAGTTAAGTTATTGGTATAAAATGGCGACATAACTTGCTAACTAAATTTTAAACAAATAGCCACTCGATGAATGTTATGATCCTTGATTTTTTAAATTATAAACTGTATTAGGTCTTCCTTGAAAGTACTTAATTTACTTTTTGTATGAATGATTCATTTGTATATATATATATATATATATATATATATATATTCAAGTTTCATTCAATATGACAGACAAAGTGTTCTGATTAAGTTTTTATGTCATTTCTCATGTTATCTTGTAATTTTTTTTCAGTATATAAATTACATAAAAACTGTCCAAATATTATATTATTCGGAGCGCTTTCGGCTATACATTTAGCCAATTTCAAGGATGTTACCTAGAAATAGATTATTATATGTATTTATGAACACAATATGCTGACCGCGTTTTGAAAATGAAGCATTATATAAATAAATAGATACCTAATCAAAGCACCTTGTCTGTCATATTTAATAAAACTTGAATGAAAGAAGGATTGCTGCATAAATATACCATATATATATATATATATATATATATATATATATATATATATATATATATATATAGTTTTAAGGTGTGCTACATTTATGGGATAAAGTGCTCAATACCAGAGACAGAGCGTATGTAAATGTAAATATAAAAGTGAACATTGAAGTCAACACTCAGAGGCGACAGGCTGTTTCATGCCTGACGATTGCGTCCAGCATGAAACAGCCTGTCACCTCTGAGTGTTGACAATGTTCACTTTATATATATATATATATATATATATAGTAGAGAAACATCTACGTGTGGTTATTAAAAAGAATGTAGGTATAGTAGACCAATGAGAGAAACTCGAAAAAAAAAAAAAAAACAAAACATAATAATATAAAAATAATAATAATAATAATAATATTTTTTTACAAAAATGATTAATGGAAAATGTCATAGGGTCATTTATGACTTTAGGTCTCCGGGACCCGGGAGAAAATATATATACAACAGAAATGAAAGATAATAATAATAATAATAATAATAATAATTTTCCAAAAGTACCACACGCTGGTATTTCTTCCGCAGATTAGTAGCATCAAGAAGTCACCCCCCACCAACCATGATAAATATTTATGAGCATCTGTTAAATTTATATATATATATATATATATATATATATATATATATATATATATATATATATATATATATATGCATTTGGTCCGTTTGTTCAAATAAACAACAAAAATTTGGACATTCAGGTTGGTATTTACTGACAATTTTATAGTTACGGAAACAACCATCCACTGTCTTTCCCCTCCTCCTATCAGTCTCATTCTCTCTCCCTCTCTCTCGCACTCATTGTCTAACTTATTGACAGTTTTATAGATGCATAGACAGCCACCCATTTTCTTTCGTCTCCATCTCGCTTTCTCTCTCTCAGCCTCTCTTTCTCCCACCCTCTCTGTCTCTCTCTCTCGTTCTTTGTCTCCTTTTTTAAAGATGCGTAGACAACCACCCACACGCGTCTACCTTTCCCTCTCTTTCTTTTTCCTTCTCTATCTCGCATTGTAGATGTGATAGGATTAGTTGGTAGACTGATTTACCTAACCTAGTAGATAAACTAAACAAAGTCGAATATGCAATAGATTTTACATACGAAATGGAAGAATAATTCCTTACCTTTTTAGATATCAAGCTACACTGCATTAACAACAGTTTAAAACTTAATGTCCACCTGAAATCAACCAACAAAAGCGATCTAATAAAGTCCTATTCTCCTCATAACAACAAAATAAAATCCGATATAATCATCGGATTCTACTTGAGAGCACTAATAATATGCAGCCCTCAATATTTTCATGAAGAAGAGAAATACATTGAAAACACTTTCAAGCTTCTTCAGTACCCTACTTATTTTATATTCAATGCGAAACAAAAGGCTCATAAAATATTCTAAAATAGAAAACGGCCCTTCCTAGCAAATCCAATGAATCAAAAAATATATTGTCCTACCAGTTAATTCTATCATATCTACAATTGGAAGAATCTATCTAAACTCAACATAAAATTTCTAACTACTACATCCAAAACAAAAGACTTAGTGAATACTAAACAATACAATAAGCTAAAACATGAAGGAGGAATTTACTCGATTACCTGTAATAATTGTCACAAAAAATACCTAGAAGAAACTTCAATGAATCTAAGTAAAAGATTATCTGAACACAAAAGGGACATTTTACAAAACGATACATCAAATGCGTTGGTTGCCCACCGTAACGAGACTGACTACAATTTTGACATAAAAATGCTACTCTGATCAAAAGAGAAAATTCACTAAGACGAAAATGTCTAGAGGGTGTTGGAATTTTTGGGTACCCTGGTGTACTAGTGAGCCAGCCAAAATGAGCTGACTCAATTTATAGTTCACCAATAGAAGGGTTAACCAATCAGAAGGCTCCAAATATTCAATGCAACGTGTATAAAGGCGGCCATGTTTTTTGCCGAATATTCACTGACAGCCTTTGATATCGAAGACTGAAGAGTTACGGAACAACTGCTGGTGGTATTGGCGATATAGTCAGATTCAGTAGAGTGTCTGACTCGTGAGTATTAATCTTTAACGTTGTTTTATTGAACAGATTATGTACTGCGCTGTATTCTATATTCATAGACCATGATGAACATGGTCAACAGAGGGTGCGTTGATCGCAAAGTCATCTTAAGTTAATTTGCGTCCTGGCACTTACATCTTACCATTCCTGGCAGAACTTCTACTATCACAGTGTGGAATATTTACTGAGGAAACTGATGGCAAGCAAAAGAAAAGGAATCTAAATGAAATCGGCTAGATTAACAAAAAAAAATTAAATTTAAAATTCCCAGCATCCCTCGTTCGTGCGCATGCGTACTCGCACCAGCATAATAAATTTAGTCCGATGAAGTCCTAAAGGACGAAACGCGTCACAAGAAAATATTTTTCCACTTTGTCATACATATTGTTCTTGATATATAAAATATATATCGTTATCATATATATATATATATATATATATATATATATATATATATATATATATATATATATATATATATATATTGTCCTACCAATTTTATAGATACAATTATTTAAGCAAATTTTGCACTGTTTATAATAAACAGTATTAATTACATTTACCGGTCAGAATGTCCGAGAAATTTCGTAGAAAATATGTGTCCTCCGACAGGAATTGAACATCGGTCCATCACCAACCCTCGTTTGATCTGACATGCTATACCATTCAGCTACAGAGGAAGCGTCTGGTTAGTAAAGTCCAAATTACTGCTATAGTCACCAGTTATTTAATAACGCCTGGTGATATGTGATGATATGCATCGAAACACAACTGCAATTGTGTAGCGTTTTTTTTTTACATGTTTTTGATGTAATATCCTAAAATAAAGAATATTGCTCTACTTTGTATTGAGCCGTCTTTTAAATTAAATTTTACGAACGTTGGAATTGTACTCTATTCTTTTTCATAAAGTTCGTGTGCACTTTAAAAAATTTATAACTTTATTTGTATTTGTGATAGAAATAATTTGTAAAAAGGATTAGAAAGAAGCAAATTGATATTTGTTTAAGGTTTTATTGAAATTTTATTTAAGTTTCCACATGTCCTCCATCATTAGCAATACAAAGGGTAATACGATTTTGAAGTTCACGGAAAACATTTGCCAACTGATTTACAGTAATGCCTGAAATCACATTAGTTATTTTAGCTATACTTAAAACTAGGTACATTAAACTTTATAACATTTTTTACAGATTATTTCTATCGCAAATACAAATGAAGTTATAAATTTCTTAAAGTGCACACGAACTTTATGGACACCCTGTGTGTGTGTGTATATATTTAATTAATTCATCGAGTCTGATAGAAACCGCAACAGAATACAGAAAACACTGGACGGCCGTTTCGTCCTATATTTGGGACTCATCAGCAGTGAGCATCCACTACCGAGAATTGAAACCCTGGGCCTCGGTGACGAAGAGATTGCAAATCAGACTCAACATAGCGCCGCTCGCTCACATATTCCGTGGTGGAACTCTACTGAGTTCTCTGTAACCATAAGACTGTGCCCCCTGGAGCCACGACTACTCTCACCAAGCCGCTCAATCTAGAGCATTAGAAGCCGGTTCAAGCGATGATGCTTTCTGCATTCTGTTGAGGTTTCTATCAGACTCGATGAATTAATTAAATATAATTATCAAATCCTCCTAATAATTTCTATCTGTATATATATATATATATATATATATATATATATATATATATATATATATATATATATATAATTGATGATTGAGAGAAATTCGAAAAAGACAGAATAGTAATAATAATAATTGTATATTATTCGGCCATTAAACAAAATCCAAGCAAGATGAGAAAAATGATAAATTTTTTAAGACACGCCTGTATCCTTTCGCAACGAAAAATAAAATTAAGTTTCTACTCAGTGTATGCGTATGTGCATGTGTGTGTGTGTGTGTGTGTGTGTGTGTGTTTGTGTGTGTGTGTGTGTGTGTGTGTGAGAGAGAGAGTGCGTGTTATCGATCAACAACAAATATTTTTTTAGTTAGGTTTTGTTCTTTATGTACAAGAAACCATATTATTAAGTCCATTATTAAGTATATAGATATGTGAATGTTTGTAATTAAATACTGTCAACTATATTTCTGGTCCTTTTCATGATTCTGGGTTATGTAAGTATATCCTCTTTCATATATTCAACTAATTTCTTTTAAAACTCTCCCTAGCTAAGTTGTTGAATACATTAAGAGCAAAGTTGAAGTTATATTTCAGATTTTTATTTATTATTCGAATATCTGGAGTTTTTTTGTTTTGTTTTTTGCCTTTTCTCTTTTTTGGCACTATTTTTTTTTATGTCGGAAGAGATCTTATTATTATATTTTTATTAAATATTTTTATTAAATATTTATATTTTATTACTAAACGATACATACTTATCAATGTGGGTGTCATTTGCGCCGTGAGTCACATTTTAGCGGATTAATCTACAAGATAAAGTTATCATTATTTACATTATTTTAACTCGGACTATTTCTCTCTCCTTTTCACCCATCATGTTACCTAGTCGAACTAGGTAACGTCCAGGGAATTTCGAACTTTATCCTTTATTTAATAAACCAGATAGATGTTCATGCTGTTGTCCATGTGGTAGTACAGTGGAATAATGATTAGCGGCTCTGATTGATGAATCGGTAAACCGAGTTCGAATTCCAGTCAAGTTCATTACATTTACTTACATGCTAAGACTGTTGGGAAACGTATGAATCCATCTCTTTACCTCAAAGCTATGGGTAAAATAACAAAGAGAAGCCGCCTTGGGTGGCAGCTAGTTTAGGAGAAGGAAACTCTGAATTCAGATCGAATCGTCCTATCCTAAAAGTGTGCGTAGATGCGGCTGGGGAGCGCTTGCGAATGTAAATTCCACCTGAAACTCCTAGTATGGATTTTGCACGTCCGAATGAGCACGACCTCCGCTATGCTTGATTAGCTTTCGTTCGGATCAGACGGTTTGTTTAACGGGGCAAGGTGAATACCTCAACAAGTACAAATAATTATTGCTTTTTCAACTGAGTCTGCACTGATTGACTTTACCAATGTTCTAAACTTTAAACAATAAGACAAACCATCTTTATCTCACGGCACAGTTGAATAGTTAAACTTCCGCAGCACAGTTTAACCTAGATTTAAAGTTCCACGTACGCTTGAATCTAGAGATAAACTTCTGCAGCACACTTAAACCTATAGTTAAACTTCCGCGGCACATCTGAACCTACAGTTAAACTTCCACGGTACACTTGAACCTAGAGTTAAACTTTAGCGACACACTTGAGCTTAGAGTTAAATTTCCGCAGTTCAGTGAACCTATAGATAAACTTCCTCGGTACACTTGAACCTAGAGTTAAACTTTCGCGTCACACTTGAGGTTAGATTTAAATTTCCGCAGTTCAGTGAACCTATAGATAAACTTCCACGGTACACTTGAACCTAGAGATAAACTTTCGCGTCACACTTGAGCTTAGAGTTAAATTTCCGCAGTTCAGTTGAACCTATAGATAAACTTCCACGGTACGCTTCAACCTAGAGATAAACTTTCGCGTCACACTTGAGTTTAGAGCTAAATTTCCGCAGTTCAGTTGAACCTATAGATAAACTTCTATGGCACACTTGAACCTTGAGTTAGACTTTCGCAGCATACTTGAACCTACAAGTTAAACTTCCAAGGTACACTTGGACCTAGAGTTAAACTTCCAAGGTACACTTTGACCTTGAGTTAAACTTTCGCGACACACTTGAATCTACAGTTAAACTTCCACGGCACACTTGAACCTAGAGTTTATAAACCTTTTCAGTTGACTTGAACTTACTGTTAAAATTTCTCCATCAAGCTTAAATAATGATGATCAAAAAAAGAAAAAAATATGTGTTCTTTTTATGATTTATTTCTTAAACAAATAAAACAATTTATTACAATTTGCAATTAAAATTCTTAAAAAAACT